GACTAGAATCAAAAGGATTTACTTACGTAAAACCTGCCTGCTAGTGAAAGAAAAATCAAAACAGGACCATAGAATTTGGTGGGTGGGTTGGTTTTTTTTTTAATGTATTTTGTTCTTTGCAGCACTCAGCACTAAACTTTTCCTGGATAGTATCTGCTTGAAGTTTTTCCTACTAAACGCCTTCACAGAATCAGAGAATATGCTGAGTTGGAAGGGACCCATGAGGATCATTGAGTCCAAATCTCAACCCTGCACAGGATCATCCCCAAGAGTCACTCCATGTGCCTGAGATAATCATCCAAATGCTTCTTGAACTCTGTCAGGCTTGGTGCTGTGACCACTTCCCTGGGGATCCTGTTTCAGTACCCAAGCACCTCTTATGCTAATATAAGTAGCTTTTGCTCTGGCATTATATTCCTCCTTGATACCAAAGAAAGGAGTGATATTATTTTGGTATTTCAGTTCCTAGAGAGTTAGTGGCTTCAGCTCAGGAAGAAAACAAAATGTAACACACATGCAGTCCCTTTCTAAAACAGGATCTAAGCAGATTAAAATTCACAATTTATCAGGCAGATTAAACAACATAATTATATTGATATGTTTTTACATTTCTATAGACTTTATCAGAGGTGCTGGCTGCTTCAAAGCCCTGTAGATAACCTGATTAATAAACACAGTTAATCCCTCCCCTGGTTTGGTAACCCTGACACCAGGACAGACTGATTTTGCTTAGAAGCTTTTTTTTTTCCCCTGAAATACAGTTATCTAGACAGACTTTGTTTATATGTGGATTCAAACTGTGCTGATACTAGTTATCCCCCTGGACCTTTAATCTCTACTAATAACACTTTTCAGTATCATAATCATCCTGATGGTTAGTTATTTGATACTCCTTGTGAAAAGTGCCACCTCTCACAGGAGCTGCTGAGTCTTCCACGTTCTTTCCCTTCAGTCTCTTCTCAGACACTTCAGACCCTTTCCCCTCCTTAGCAAGCAGAATAGTTTATCATCTGTTTTCCTGGCAGCTATATTATACCTAGTTTGTAGTGTGCCTTCTATCTAAGACAGCAGATAAAGACCAAGGATGGTCAGCTCCTGATACCCTTCATGGCCTTGGCCAGTACCAACTCTGCCTCACACTTCCTTTGACTGATATTCAACCCACTGTAGAAATTACCCCATTTCAGCACTACTGTGACAAATCACTGTGTTGTAAAGTGGGCTCAGACCATGATGACTGAAGTGGAATGTTGTTTCCAGGCATTTTCAGTCGTGCTACTGGCGTAGCAAAATACTAAGACCTGCTGAATTTAACAGTAATAAAGAACTGGTTTTCAGGAGCTAGGCTGAGATACCAAAGTAGCTTGTCATATTCACTTCCTTTGTGTATAAGGAACTAACCAGCTCAGACCTTTCAACCAATTTCTGGTTATTCTATTTGGAATTTTTTTGGTTAAGATACTAAAAGTTTCTTTTATTTCTGTAGTTTTGTCTAAATAAAATTCTGCCTTTTGGTGAAGTTTTGTATGATTGAGAATTAACAATACCATTTCTAGAATCCCTTAAGCCATTGTTTCCTCTAGCAAGATTCATTTTAATGACAGTGAAGTCAGCAGAAATTTTATTTTACTTTATTTTAAATGACCCTTAGAGGTGATACCCCTGTCTAAAGATATCTCTTCCCATTTCCGTCATGTGTTTTGACTTAAGGAGAGCAAAGCCCTGACACCACTCAACTTACTTTCCACTAGAGCCTAAGCTTATAGACAAAGGAAAAATCCATAGGATTGTTATCAGGAATACAAGACAAAGCTCTTGAATAGAACATGCAAGCAAATAAAGTTTTTTACAATCTTTAACAAGGTGATTTAGCTGCAGGAACATTTTACTAAGACATGGGAGTTGGCTAAGGTACAGGAATTCATGCAACTACAGAACCCTGTCCTTCGTACTGTATGTAGATTGTTTTCTCAAGGTGATGAGACTTAGCAAGAGTCTCAGATTATAAAGCTCCATCATTTCTAGTGAAGAGTAAGTTCCTCATTGTTTTAAGATATTAAAAAAAGTCTCTGCCCCCATATTCTAGTGAACAGTTTTTCCTTCTTGCTAATAACTGTATATTGTTTATCTAGAATGTGGTTACATAAAATATAATAAGGACTATACAGACGAGATCAGATTAAAATAAAATTACTTCTAATGCACTGGGTGCATCTGCTTGGATACATTCCTACTCTACCCATTCATCTTGTACTTGAACCATTTTCTGTCTCTGGTGATAACACTACAAGCAGGAAAATACCCATACAACTAAAATGCTGCCATAGTTCACACTTCTGCTAGGTTTAATGCTAAATGAAGTACTGTCACCAGTTCTATTTTCATCATTCATCTTGCAATTGTGTTTGGTTTGGTTGGTTGGGGTTTTTTTAAGCATCATTTTTTTAGGACTGTAGGATTCTCAGTTTTCCTTTAACTAAAATAAAGAGGTTTTCAGCAACTAACATTCCAGGTACAAGCTGGTAAATCTGAAATCTCAAGACTCAAAAACGAAAAACTAAACCAATACACGGGGTGAGAAAAAAAGGCTTAGGATTAAAGTCCTTATCATGATTTTTGGTTGACTCATGGGCATCAAATGTGTGAAACTGGCTTCACTGAACACTCTGTACTAGCAATTCAAGATGATATATATCAGTTAGAAGTAATTTTTGGAATCTGAAGAGCCAGCAGTTTAAAAGCTAGTGCTGCAAACAAGCCTCAACATCCAGAAAGAAAGAAAGAAAGAAAGAAAGAAAGAAAAAAAAAAGGCACTGGAACTTTTTAAAAATGTTTGAACAACATGATCATGACTAAAAATTCACAAGTGTACAGGCAAGATCTTTGCACCACTGTAATCTAATCATGTGCTATCCTTGGATTTTTTGTACCAGAACAAGTCCTTCCTCTGTGCTGCATTAGAAAGAAGCCAAGCTTTCAGCAAGCTATAGTGCGGTTTCGTTTTACTAGTGCAATGCATCAAACCCTGGGACTGCCATCCTAATGAGGACAAGAACTGCGCTTTCATGCAAAGAGGACTAGTTCCCCCTCCAGTCTGTTTAAAATACTGTTCACTGCTTCGAGCACACCATAGCTACAGACTCTACTTTTCCTCACAGGAATTAATACAAATGACATGAAGTCCAAGTCAGTATGCTCAGTGTTTGGTGACTTGATTCCACATCACAGTAACTAATCTTGATTATTTACAAGAATCACCACGTTTCACTTTACTAGCACTCCTTGTCCTCAGCCTACCATTTGCCCTTGTGCTTTGGAGAACTGCTATCAGGAAACCCAGCAAGCTGCCCTGCATCTGGCCCACGTCGCTCCTCAGAGCTTGGCTCTGCCGTGGGGTACACTTGGCCTATGACTGCTTACAGTAGGCTGCCAGCAATAAGCCATAAATTAATTCTTATATTTGCAATATAGCAGTCTCACTGCACTTATCTTCTCAGTCTGCTTGCTCCAGCATTGGTATTCATGATTTTAAATCCTCAGGCCAGGGGCTAGCCAGTGAGGAATTATTTTAAAGGATTTTAGTGCAATGTGTTTATCATTGAGACCCCGAGCATATCACCTTGACTGAAAATGCACGGTAGTAGAAGGTTAACATAGCAGCAGATTAGAGTGTTTCTAACTGTGACAGAAGTTATTTCATATAGCAGCTCTCTCACTGCATGGTAGAGCTAGACAAGAACTGTAAGAAAACAGATTCTTCAGAATGAAAAGTGTTCCCAGGCATATGGTTCTTTCATAGGCTCTGCTTACAGGAAAAGCTCCTCAGCCTAGGGTGGCAGATCCTAACAAGACTGATGAGAACTGTGTGATTATGGCACATACCTGGAATACAAGAGGTTTTCTGGGATGGGAACCAAAGGGTGGTCACCATGTAGCGTGAAGAATTTCCAGTTACGTTTTGGCAGGACATGGGGAAAAATTTACATAACAAAATATTTTGTGTCCTTTTTTTCAGGAGAAAACTCCCCCATTTCTACATGAAAGCTTGCATTAAAAATGGGTACAGAAAATTTATTCCATGGAGGAGGAGAAAAGCTGCTTTTTCCATAGAGAGAACATATCAAGTATCTGGCATACCAAGGAACCATCCACTCTGCCTTAGGTTCTTGGTATCTTGTTTTCCTGACAGCTCTTCTACTCATTTCTGCCAGCATGTTACTGAAAAATTGAGAGTATAATACTAGAAGTTTACATGCCACAAATAAGCTGATCAGTGCCCCAAAGTTTATGAGGAGGGACAGAACATCTTGACAGTACAACAGAGCAGTAAAGTCACAAGGAAAACAAGATTATTTTATGTTGTTTCTACTTCAGCCTGGGCAGAGCTAGATTACAGCAAGTCTTGACAATCCTCCTTGTTCAAGCACTGGTCTTTGCTTTAATTAACAAATAAGATAGGGAAAGAGCTAAACCTATGAATTTGTTGACTGAGGATGAATCTATGTCCTTGTCTCTCTTTACTGATCTCCTGCTATTCTCATCCTAAATATTTCTTCTATTAAGTACTTCAGATTTAATCTGAGGAATGGGTACTGAGGGTCTTAGTCCCCTCTTCCCATTTGGAAGACTGCTGTAACAGAAAAAGCAAGATCCTATGCTAATACCTAACTACAGGAATTCAGCAGGCAGCCTCTAAGCCACTAATCTGAACGTAATCCAGCTATACCACAAAGGCAAAGTAGGAGTATTCATCCTCACTGATACATGTGCATTTATCTGAGTATTAGCCGGGAAAATTATATAGATTCATAAGAGCACTGTTTCCTCAATAATAGCTTATCGATACATACAAAAATTGGGAGATTGTTTTACAATTTGATTTGCTTTATTGAGCAATAGTCTGATAGCTACAATGGTGAATTAGAAGTAAAAAAAAAAAAAAAAAAAAAAAAAAAAAAAAAAAAAAAAAAAAAAAAAAAAAAAAAAAAAAAAAAAAAAAAAAAAAAAAAAAAAAAGAAACCCAACCACCTCAAAAACAAACAAACAAACAAACAAAAAAAGACCCAAAACCTAAAACAACCCAACAAACAAAACCCAAATCCTATTTCCCCATATTTTGGGAAACAAGCTGAAGAAAACATTCTACACTGTAGAAAGACAGCTGTAACTGCTGATATCCATGTTTTGACATTGGAACTGAGCAACTGCAAGTCTGCAGCCTATAGTCTTAAAGCCTCAGCCAAAAGAGGCTTAATAGTAATAACATGGATATATCACCACTGTGAAGATGTTAACATGTTAAGGATTCTGGGATACCAGTCTTGTATAATCAGCAACATACTGGGTTCCTGTGAAAGATGTGGCATTTCTTCTTAAGGTCAGCCTTTAGAGAACTTTGAAAAACAATGTTTTAAACTGATTACTTACAGTACTCCTTTGCTTGCAGAAAAGCAGGAGAATAGTTCAATAAAACTGAATACATGATCATTTTCTGATTGTATTTGATTAGTTGCATAACTTCAGCAAGATTATCACAGTGTGATCTAGTTAAGCTTTTAGGATTATATGAACACCAGCACCAAATTAATCTTGGAATCAGACAAGTGAGATACTTGTGAACTCTCATACCTCTCTGACCACTTCTGCAGTCTCTCCCAGTCCCACTGCTTCAGTAAGCATTTGATAGTTAGTGCAGCATTTTATGCCATTGACAAAGCAACACAATCTGGACAGATTCCTGACTTCTCTCTCCTTGCAAGAATAGCATGCCACCTTGTTGAACCCCCAAGGACACAAGTTGGGATTATTCTACATAAAGTCTCCCTTTGTGGCATCTGAAATAAAAACCTTTTCCCTGGAACTGCCACTGTTTTGATATTGAATTCCATGTGGAGTTGTACAGCTGGTTACTCAGTTCTTTGGCTGATTTTAAGAATTGCATTCAAAAGTTACTCTATGTTAGAGGCATTTAGAAAATATATTTATACCTGGTATTGATACTCTTTCAAGTACTCTTTTAGTCTTGTTGGTAATGGCAGCTCCCAGATCTGATTTGTACTCTTGTTTATAGCTATTCTGCAGCGGTGTTGAAGAGATGGAGTGGACGTATAGAGGGGTTTGTTCAAGTAAAGATGAACTGTTCCATTTGAAGGCGTTTCAGTTCTGTCCTTGCACATAAGAACATAGTACTCAATCAAATGCACAACGCTGTTGAACTGTTTAAGTCTAGATCTGACACAAGTAATAGAATCCAGTCTAAACTTGCCATCTTGATATTCTATACGTAGATTGGTCGGTCCTGCTGATGTTTTTACTGAAATAGTCAGTAGATACTCTGAATGCGAACTATCCCTAACCAAAAAGGTTCCTTCGGGGGCATCCTGTAATTTCTCTTTGGCTTCAGCAACAGTCATGTTGCCCCAGTACCATCCTGTTAAAAAATGAGAGAAAAAAGGGATTTGTTTATTCCTGTTTGTTTAAAAAGCTGCTCTTTAGCTGACATACTTGTAGTCACCCATTTCCTTTGTTGTTTGAAAGCTGAAGTCCTGCAGGCACAGTAAATTTTTATTTGCTATTTAAATCCATTTGCGTCTCGTTTTGACAGAACCGTCCAGGTCACTCTTTATTTTCATATCTGTGCATACACAGGCACAAACTTTCCCGCAGCGTCCTGCGAGGCAGACGCGGGAGCCGCGGACCCGGCGGGCCGCCTCCGAGGCAGCAGGGACGCGTCCCGCGGCTCCCCGCTGCTCTCCCGCCGGGGCCGGCGCGGCGTCCGCACGGCACAGGCTGGCAATCCGCAGAGAGCCCGCCAACTCCGGGCAGGCTGCTGTTGAAATGAGCTTTGTAGAGCGATCGGAAACAGAGAGGGGTGAGAAAACAACTCCAGCGGGGCGGCTGTGGTCCTGGCGCGGCGGTGATGGACACAAAAAAGCCCTACCCGCCGCCAAGCCCCGCATCCTGCCGGGCCGGATGAGCCGCCGCCACGCCAGCGAGCGGAGCGCAGGTACGCGGGGCCGAGGGGATGCGGCGCCGTGGCCGCCCCGGCCGGCGGCAGCGCCTGGCCCTCTCTCGGCCGCCGATCCTGGGCTGCCGCCGGGGCGCGGCGCTGCCGGCGCTTTCGCTTCGGCCGCCGCCGTAGCCCGTGGAAGGTCGGAGCCGCCGCCGCCGCCCCTCTCCCCCGCGGGAGCGCGACCCCGCAGCGCCGGGCGGCGATGGCCAAGCGTCGCCCCGCCGCCCGCTTCCCCTCTCGGCCCGGCTGGGCTCCCCGCCTCCCCCGAGAACGCGGCGCGGCGGACAGCGGGGAGCCGGGAGCCTCAGCGAGCGCCGCCGCCCCGGGCGCTTTCTCCTTCCCGGCCGCCCGGGCTTACCTGCCCGCCGCAGCTCCTCCATAGCCGCTGCCAGCTGCACCGCCTCACGGGACTCCTCGGCAACGGGCGCCGCCGCCCCCCGGTGCCCCCAGCGCTCTCGGGAGCTCTCCGCGCTCTCCAGGGACTCGGCGGAGCGCAGGGTCATGGGCGGCAGCTGCGGCGGGCGCGGCCCCGCTCGCACGCAGGTCGGGGGCTGCAGGCAGGAGAGAGCTCCGCTTCACCGCCGCCACGGGGTTCAGCGCCGCGCCGGGTACATGGTCCCGGCCCCCAGCCCGGGCACCGCCTGCGAGCGGAGAGACAGCGTGGTTAGCGGCGAGCCCCGCGAGAGGCGCTCCCGAAGCAGCCCGTGTGTTTCTGGAGATCCCGCTTCGGAACTTCCCAGCATCCAGAGGAGGGACCCGAGGCGAGAGATCACCTCGCGGCGGAACGGGGGAGGGACATCTCCTCCCCCCACCGCCCAGCCTGTCCTCGGCTCCCCTCCGCCGGGCAAGCGGCGGAGGCGACGGCCCGCGAAGGTGGTCTCGCTTTATTGCAAGGGCAAACCTGCTGATGCGCCGCTCCCTCCGCCGGAGCAGGCGAGCCTGGCAGGTAGCAACACGGCGGGGGCGTTTGGGGAGATCGTGAGGGAGAGCCGAGCAGGTAAAGGTACGAGTGAGGAGGGGTAACCAACGAAGCGGGGCAATCCCAGCCCCGGCGCTGCCCGTGTTGCACGCTACGGTGCGTAGGAACGGTAGGGTAATGCTTTTCAGTAAGATCATAAGACAATTCGTACCTCCAGGAACGGGAGCCCGGTCTGGGCCGTGCTCCTGGGGTGGGAGAGCTTCTCCCAGGCAGCTACGTGTCCGAGGAACTGCGGAGCGGGTGCTCTGGCCGGGGGCTCGCTGGCCGCCGGGAACGGGAAGGGGCAGTACGGTGAGATATAATTAGCGGGTACAGGAAATGTGGTTTTCCCGCTCTATTAAATGATGATATTAGGAAAAAAAAAAAAAACAAACAAACACCTTTCCACTCGGCTGAAGCGAACGGGAGGGACAAAAAGAGCCTCCCCTTTCTAGGAGCACCGTCAAGTCAGGAGCGATACAAAGTCGGGCAGCACCAGTGAGAAGGAGCCTAGCCGGCTTAGCTGGGGTGGAGGGAGGCCCGGGAAAGACCGCAACCCGTCGCTGGTGCTTGCGAACCGGGCAGACTCTCTGCCTCCGAATGCACAGCAGCCGCCAGGTGAGGCATTATGCCGAGGTGGTTCCTCCCGTAACAAGTTCCATGGCGGAGTTCAGAAACTTTTCCAAATTAAACCGTAGTGGCAACTAATAGGCTGCTCTGCCGGGTTTCTATCGTAACGTGCAGGCACATTAGCAGCAACCCCCGGCAAAGCCTATCCCCTTCTTCCGCTGGGCTTAGAAGCTCCCGCTGCCGGCTCGGGGACGGGGCGCAGGTGCGCCTGTCACCGGAGCGGCTGCGGGCGCGGGGCCGCCGAGCACAGGTGGGAGCAGCCCTGCCGGCAGTGTCCGGGCGCGACCTCTTGTGAAAGAGAAGCTCCGGGAGAACCTGCCCGCGAAGCGCCGCCACTCGCGGGAGTTCGGTGGGAACGGAAGGCTTACGAGGCACTGGGGGATGGCTGCAGACGGGCAGCCCCCGGCAGCCTGCCGTAGGCTGCGGAACAGCCTCATCCCGCCGGTCGGCAGCGCCGTTCCGGGAGCGGGGAGGCGGGCTGCCCGCTCGCGAAGCGCGGCAGCTCATCGAGCGGAGGGGGCCGAGGGGACTCACCCGGGCTCGGCGGGACGGGGCTGTGGCCGCCGCTGCCACCGCCTGGAGATGGGGCGGTCAGGTTGTTCTGGCTCCCGGCGGCTTTGAGGGGCTGCAGGGACAGAGCACTCGCCGCCAGGGAGAAGCGTTGAGGCTGTGCTGGGGCGGACAGGGGCTGTCGGAGAAGGATGGTGCTTCTGGGGAAACAACACCCTCCGCTCCCCCCTCTCTCTCCCCGGCGCGGGCGGTCTGCTCGCCTTTGATTGCGAGGCGAGGGCATCCTGCCCCCGCCGCTCCCCCCTCCCGGGATGGTTACATACAAAGGCTGCTTTCCAGGAACTTTCCAGGAACCGCATCATGTGACAGGACCCGCTCCGGCGCCTCCGCCGCGATCGCGGCCAGCCGGGGCCGACGCACCGAGCCGCCGCCCCTGTCACGCTGGGGCAGCGGTCGCCGAATGCTGCCCCGCGGCCCCCCCGCCTCCTCCTCCTCCTTCGCCCGCGGGGCCGCGGGCGACGCGCAGGTCAGTGCCCGGGATAGCGGGGGGACCGGGCCGGCGGGGCCGGGCACGGCGGGACCCTCTGAGGTATCCGGGTGGGAGCGGAGCGCGGCCCCCCAGCCGGGGCGGTGGAGCGAGGGGTGCCCGGCCTGCCCGGCGCCGGCGGCCGCGGGCACCTGAGCGCGGCGGCGGGGCCCGCCCTCAGGGCCGGGAGCGCGTCAGGGGCCGATGCCAGGAGCTCTGTGCCAGGGACTTGCGGCAGCCGAAGCTCCTGGGACACCCCACCCTGGTCTCCACCCCCCTTCACCCTCCGGCGCTAAATACCTCGTTGCTACAAACAGCCATTGCCCGCCGATGCGCGCGCCGATCTTCTCCCCCCACACACCCCCGCCCCGATTCT